CGCACACACACACACACACACACACACACACACACACACACACACACACACACACACACACACACACTTACAAACACACACATACACAAACAAACGCGCATACATACATATTCATGCACAGACACAATCTCACACGCAAGCACACACATACACACATGCGCGCACACACAGCACACCGGGGGCGAGGTCCCACCAACAACGGGATAGGATAGAAATGACTTTGTGGGGCAGTTGAGTGACCCAAATCCTGCCGTGCAGTACTCATGATCCCACGGTCAGTATTTTACTTGTATTACCCGAAAAGTAAGGAGATCTTCGTTCCCCTCCTCCTCTCCTTAACACTAGGCATGCCCGTGCAAAGAAAGTTTCCCGCCAGAATCTTTTCAATTGGTTGGGGGTGTGGCCAACCCCAAACGAGGGTGGGGTTGACCTTAGGCCCGCTGGATAGAAGATTTTCAGTATTTTACTTCTTGTTGTGCAATTATCTCATTGGGTGGAGCCCTCCTTCAATCACGGAGTATATGGAGGGTGTCAGGATCAGTGCCGAGAAAAGTCAAGTTTATTCCAGAAAATGTGGCAGTTACTTTGTTCATTGTTGTTGCAACCACCACCATCAGGTCATTTGTGATCTGATGGCTGGGAAGCACTCTGCCATGATTTCCGATGGGAGGTCTCTGTTTTTTTGGTTTTTTTTTGTCTTTCTTCTGTTTTCTTAGCCCAGAAATTCGTAATGAACCTGTCTGGCCGCTGCCACTCAGTGTCACACTCGATCGGCCACACTCCTATCCGACTGCTAATAGGACCTCGCCCCTGCACACACATAACTGGGGCCTTGGGGGTTGGGGGATGTGGGGGTGGATGGCTTAGAGGGCTTCCGAGTAGGTTTGGGGACTGGTGTCGGGGGGTTGGTGAGTGGCGGGTGGAAGGCCGGTCGGTGTTGGTCTAATTCGGTGGTATAAGAGGTGCTTCAGGGGTTGGGGGATTTTTTTTTGAATTTTTTGAATCTTGATGTGTTAGTCCCCGGGCGGCCCGGCTGGGGGAAGGTCGCCCGGGTACCCTCCCAGGTGGCCCGGACCGGGCAGGGCCCGGGCAGGGTCCCGGGCGATCCCAGCGCATAATATGCTAAAAAAAAAAAAAATCAAAAAAATCCGAAAAAAAAAATATGTTGTGTAAAATTGCAATACAAACGACTTTTGGGTGAGGGCCACCTCGAAATTCCTTGTTAATTTCAAGATAAAATAAATGAGAAAACTTAAGTCCCAAAAGACTCCAAATGTACCCTTTTAAGCCCTTTAATCACTGTTTATACCCCCCACCCCCCCCTGGATGACCCATCACCAAAACCGAAGTTAAGACCAGATTCTGACTACTTGGCCAAGCGCAGTCCTGGTCTGAAGTCTTTTTTTTGGGGGGGGGATCCTTGCCTCTTTTTTGGCCTGTCTGGTTTTGCCAGGCGACCCCCCTTCTGCCCAACTGGCCCGGCCGTGCCTGGTCGGGCGTGTCGGGCCGGGCAAAGGCCCAACATAGGAATTTTTTAAAATTTTCTAATTTTTTGAATTTTTTATTTTTTGATTTTGAATTTTATGACATATGGAACCGGAGCCACTAGGGTGAAGTAAGCCTCACTTGTTAGTGTGGACCTTTGAACCCGACAATGATAACCGATTTGGGACTTGGACCCGGGAATTGTAAGTGCAGACCTTTAAAGTTTCAACCGATACCAGGTACGTAGCCTAGAACGTGGCATATAGGATTTAAACTTGATACAAGTAGACAACAACTACCGAGTTGAGCCTCGAACCAGTAATCTGTGGGTAAAGGAGGCTACTCGACTATCTTTTGGGACAACAGAATAGATAGGGTAATGAGAACGTAGGATCGTCCTATATCAATAATGATTGACGCGTCTAATGGTCTTTTTGGGTCCGACGCCTATAGACCCATGATCATTTTCGGAGATGGAAGTGGGTTGAGGGCGGTGGTGGGATTGAGGTTAGTAGGAGTTGACGAGGGTGATGAATCTGTGGAATTCCCCCTGAGGAGGACAGCGTGGCAGTTGTCGAAACCGGTTAGGGTGCCAGTACCCACCGGCGTGTTTTCAACCAATTGTTGTCATATATGATTGTATTGTGTACTGAATATGTATGCTTTTTCAATTGTTGTCACGTATAAATGTGTGTCAATCAATTGTTGTCACATACGATTGTACTGTGTACTGAATATGTGTGATTTTGATATCTCTTTTCGATATCTCTATCTCTATCATCATCTAATAACCACGTGTTCCGGACCCCGCACATCAATTCCGTTTTTCCAAACAGCGCGGGAGCGGCCCGTTTTTGCGTTTAACGGGAATTCAACGGGAGTTTTTAGAATTCGACGGGATTCAATGGGAGTTTAATTCCCCCGTTCCTCGTTAAAAAGACACACAAACCACGCCTATGCCATACTGGCTGACGTCTGTGGTCACGACAAATGGCTTATCAGGATCCGGAAGTTTAAGAACTTCATAGTGTATCAGAGCATACTTCAGTTTCGTGAAGCTTGCTTCACACTCTTCAGTCCACTCACAAAGGGTATCAAGTCGAGTTAGATCAGTTAATGAGGAAGCTATAGTACTATAGTTTTTAACAAACGAACGATAGTAGCCTGTCATCCCCAAAAACGATCTGACCTCGGTAACAGTCTAAGGTCTGGGCCAGTCTCGTATGCTGGCCACTTTGGCATCGTCCGACCTCAACCCATCCGCGGAAATTCCACGACCCAACTACAAGATCTTGGTGCGACCGAACTCACATTTCTCCAAATTCACCTTGTACTGATGCTGCCTTAGGAGTCCTAGCACTATTTTTAAGTGCTCAGCGTGCTCCTCTACAGTCTTACTAAAGATAAGGATATCGTCGAGGTACACGACGATAAACTTATCAGTAATCATGAAATATCATATTCATAGCGTGTTGGAATGTCCCAGGAGCATTGCATAGGCTAAAGGGCATTACCACAAACTCGTACAGACCGTACCTGCTCTAAAAAGCGGTTTTGTGCTGGTCCTCAGGTCTAATAGCAACTTGATGGTATCCGAACTTTAGATCTATCTTAGTAAAGTATCGACATCCCTGCACTCTGTCCAATAGGTCGTCGATGCGGGGTAGGGGCTTTGCGTTCTTTACTGTGATGGAGTTGAGGCCCCTATAGTCAATGCACATCCTTAAGGTACCCCCCTTCTTAGGGACAAATAAGACTGGCGCACCGTAAAGGGAGGTACTAGGCCGAATCCATCCCTTTTTTGTGAGCTCCTTGAGCTGGCGGCGGAGCTCATCCAACTTCGCAGGATACATCCTATAGATTCGTCCTCTAGGTACCTTGCTACCTCGGAAAACCTCTATCGCATGGACCACCTCTCTTTCTACCACGCCTGTGGGCTCCTAAAAAAGGTCGGAACATTGTGCGACGACTGATTCTATCTATGGGGGTGTTTTAACGACCTCCCCTTTCTCAAAGACAAAGACTAGATACATGCCCTCCTCGCGATTCTGCTTATACTAGTTATAGAAAGAGGAAGCACACATGCAGCTGTAGTTTTCCACTAGACTGCTAGCTTTATACTTTCGCAGTCTAACGGCCGTACCGTTTGGCGGCTTGTGTATCAACACCTTCCTATCCTAATCAAACTGAGGTTGAGCAACCTCGAGGTAGTATATGCCCAGTAACATATCGAAGGGCAGTTCGTCGCTAACGAGGAATGAGATTTTGAGTCTCACTTCCCCTCCTCCATAAGAGAAGGAACAAACTACGTCCTTAACATAGTCTTTAACTACCATTTGGTGCTTGTTGGCTAACGTAGAAGCTACAATTCTGCTAAGTCGCTGCACTTGGTCCCCTAAGTGCAGTCTGTCCACACAAGCATGACTGATGAAATTTTGTGTAGAGTCTATGTCTGCGAAGACACCCACTTTACGGCCACCTACATTGACCTCTACCACAAAATGCTCACCCTTTGGACCTCTACTAATCATCGGCCAAGATTCTCTGGGGTCCTTCCCGACCACTCAGTCTCTAACTCTTCTAGGGCCTCGGACACATCTCTCAAACAGAGCATCGATGGGTTTGAATGTGTCCGCGGGGCGATATATGGGTCACTAGCCTTGGCCAACGCCTGAAGTGGGGAAGGCAACGTTACCACTTCAGCGCGAGTAAGAGCGGCTAAGACTCCTACTGGCCGGAGGTGTTTCCCTGCGAAGTGCTCGCAGAAGCACTGCCAGGGTTCGAAGATAAGCCCACCACCATTGGTGAGGCTACCTTCATAATGATTTTCTTGACTCAGCACGTTCTAGACGTGTGGCCATAGTTGCCACAGTTCATGCACGTGCCCCTAGCAACTCGGTCCCTCCATACCTCGTAGTCTAAACCAAGTTTTACCCATGCGGGTGTTCCTTGGTCGCTCTGATCCGTCGACCGTACTACCTTCTTTTTCCCGGTCCCCTTAGCCTTTTCCTTGATAGGGCTCACGACTCCCCCATCCGAAGTTTCGCTGGCCCCATCATGCTCCGTCTCGTCCCCTAGATCTGGGAACTCGTCAATTTCCGTTGTCTGACCATCATGGTCAACGAACATTAACTGACCCTTCTTTTTCCAATCATGGGGAAGCTTCTTCCTCCTACCATTTGTTGGACCATGATGCGCGGACCCAAGCTTTGCCTCTATATCTAAGGCTTTCTTGTTGAACGAGGCGAAGTTATGTTGGTCAACATACGCTTCATCTACCACCTTAGTCTTTACCTCTGCAGGTAGACATCTTAGGTAATCTGTGAGGAGAACCTGTTGGTCATAGCGCACACCAGGCACCGCAAGCAAACGCTCTACGGTGTCTGTGAGTTCGCGAACATTCTTGATCGCGTCGGTGGCCTTTTGAGCCCCTTGAGGGTCGTGCCACCTATTATACACAGTCCGTACGAAATCTTCCAATGTCTGGGCCTGCGCCCGGGCATCGAAATTTTGATTGTAGCCCTGTTGCTGCACTAACCCATTCAACCAATGCGCAGCCAATCCCTCTAAAAAGGAAGCAGCAACTACGACCTCCTGCTCTGGCCTGGTGAGCTTGTGCCTCACATAGGTAGGCACAGTCCTCACCCTGGTATCCAGGTCCTCATCCTTTTTCTTGTCGCCATAAAAAGGTTTAGGACTCAGCAATGGGATCTTTGGCATCCACTACATGGGCTGCGTTGGCCCAGGAGATTGTTGCAGTGGTTGCATAGCCACTGAGACAGGTTGTTGCGCACTAACCTGAACTTACACTGACGATGGGACTGTAGTAACCACCGTCGTAGATGGTACGGTTGAAGTTCTAAGGACCGTACCACTAACTACTAACTACTGGTTGTCCGCCTGGGAGAGGCATGCCATACATAGGCGAGAAGGTTGGCCCCATCGGCGACGGCGTCACTAAAGGACCTGCAACCGAAGGGGGAACTACAAAGAATTGGGGCTGCCTCATGACTGGACAAGGCCTCCAAAGTGTAGCCAGAATTCGTTTCTGACCTGCCACTAGTTCAACCAACAGTTCCTGCTGAACTACCTGCGTTTCTGCCGAGTTGAGCAGTGACCAATCAACAAGATTTAGCGTAGCATTGTCTAGTTCTTCTAGTCCTCTTAGCTCCTACAACCTAGTGCCTAATCTGACTTTTCTTAATCTAGCTCTTTCCCTTCTCTCTTCTACTTCTCTCAGTTGTCGCTGCAACTCATCATGAAGAGCTTCCGGTTGGAGGATCTCATAATCCTCGGGTGTGAGTGGCATCTGCTGGCTGACTTGTGAGCCAACAGATTGACTAACACAACTTTGAGAGCTACCCTCACTGACACCTGACAAAGAGGCCTAAGACAAGGCCTGTGACACTGAAGAGGCGGTAGCCATCGCAACCTCAACCTAAACTCTAGCGTCCGCTGGTCTTGCTGCTGCAAGTGTCCGTTCAGCGTTGGTTGTCGCTGACCTAGCCCTCTCTAATATCATTCATTCCCTCACTTCCCTTCGCAGCTGCCTTCCTCTCACTGGCCTAACTCCAAGAAGGTAATCGGTTGACTGAGTGCAGTTCTACGAGTCACTCATGTTCCACTACTCGTTCCTCCTCCTCCTTAAGCCTGCATTACTCATGAGCTACACCTGTCTCTTATACACATCTAGATGTGTATAAGAGACAGCTCTAATATCATTCATTCCCTCACTTCCCTTCGCAGCTGCCTTCCTCTCACTGGCCTAACTCCAAGAAGGTAATCGGTTGACTGAGTGCAGTTCTACGAGTCACTCATGTTCCACTACTCGTTCCTCCTCCTCCTTAAGCCTGCATTACTCATGAGCTACACTGTGTGTGATCTAAACTAGAGTCGACACTGAATCCTACCTCAACATGACACACAACGGGTATGAATAATCAACTAATTTCGGTCAACCTATAGAGAGAAGTAGTCGAGCGGTAACCAATAATCAATGTCAGATCCTACAGGTAAGTTCACTTCTATTTTTAGATTATCTTACACAAAATGCAATGCAGCAAGGAAAGGAAGAAACCTATCTGCAGATATCTGTCAGTTGTTAACAAGTATGTAACAACTAAATAATCAAAAATAAAAATAATCTACCTGTTGAGATGCATGTTGGATGGCAGTTTGTCTAATCAGTGCCACCGCGAACAGTTACCAGAATCCAACCCTCCCGATGTATCCCTCTTGAGTAGTCTCTTTGTGTCAACGCCCTGAGCATCTGGTTGAGCAGCGTGTCTGAAGGTGTGCAATCCAGCCCACCCCTGTGCCCCAAGTCTATGTCGAACCTGCCAGCCCCTGCACCTTATTTATCCTCACATGCAACGAGCCTTACAACCAGTTTGACCTGGCTGATCAAGAGGCAGTTTAAGGACAGCCCCCAAGGTCCTCAAGAATTATTTAGACAGGACGACGATCACAGCCAGAGTCAACACCGAGTCCCCGCCAGAAATATTTAAAGATGGTCTGGAAAGCGTCTATTCAAAGGGCTAGCATGCCCTGCATGACCTCTATTGCGCAGCAGCAAAACCAAGGACTTGCGGCAAAGTGTGTGTGTACTAGTCCCAGCGGGTTGGCATGGTGACCGTGACCCGAGTGCTTCGTCCAAGGCCCTTCAAAGGCATCGCCCGTCCCCCACCAGCTTGCTGCCCAGGAAGAACATCGACTCTCAAGGTTGAGCGCTCGCGACACCTCACATTGAGAGGACTCTCAAGACAGAACTCACTTCCTCACGGTAAGAAGTAATGAAGAGGGTAGATAAGGAAGAGAGCAACGTACCTCACAATGCTGCCCCCAACCACAAATTTCTCACCGGCAACTTGATGTGCATTTATGATGACCGGTCTTTGCCTCGGCACAACCAACAACAAAATGCAGTTCCACCTCGGCTTAAATGCCACATCAGCGAGCTCTCATCATCCAGCGTACACCCCTAATGTCACCACATAGCTTCCTGGTGCGCCCACACGACCCTGGGCCGCCTCACGCTCCATGCCCAAGCCTTATCACTGCCTTACAACTCATGCGAAGCACCAAACAGCTATTGTGAAGAACCAATGAGAGCAGTTTGAACCAGCTCCGATACCAAATTGCAAAGAGAATTAGAAATAGCGAGATGACAATGACCAGCATACACAGATAGTATCACTGTATCCAGAAAAGCAGAAATGCACCAATATAACACCATTGAAGAATCGTAACACTGAAAACCAATGTCAATGAGAGCTGGCTCTCGCCACCACCAACATGAGTGTCCAGGCCCTACCTACTACTTGGCGTTCGGTGCCCAGCCTACTCCCTACACAGCTACAGTCTGCCTACTAATTGACGATGCAACTGTTGACGTTAGCAGCCCACAAAGTACTTGAAGATGTCGCCCGTAGCAAACCATCGCCAATACCAGGTATGTGCCCTCACATCATCATCATCATCATCATCATCATCCTTCTCTCTCTCCATCGTCTTACACCCACGTCTTCCCCCCGTACATCCGAAGACCACCCGTGCGCCTCACTGTACAACCAAGCCCTCAGCCAGCTATGGAGGCTGGGCTATGGTGCTGCCCTTAGCAGCGTCGTGCTCCCTGCACGACCGCACGCGCTTGCACCTTGCGTCTCAGTGCCAGCAGCAGCCCACGAGCGTCTGCTCCATCAGCGCTGCCACTAGCATGCGAGTGCCTGAATGAGGCTGCTGGTGGTGAGCTCTTTCCTATATGGAAAGAGCCTCCTATCTTCGCAGCCTGGCTGGACTGGCCTGGGCCCAGAAGCTTCCGGTAGGGCCCAGGATGCTGCCTTGTGTTGCGGCTACTGGGCCTCTTTAGGTTGGGCCTCACAACTGTCAGTGTATGAGGCTG